TTGCCAACATGTCAGTTACACAGAGGACAAGCCAAGAGCTGACGGCAGGACCCATAGGGTGGTGTCATGCAAACCAAGAAGTGTCTCAGAAACTGTATGAAAGGGTCTCAGCTCTCAGCCACGAGCTGAGAAGTTGACCAAAGGAAAGGGAAGGTGGAGACCACCCTCGTCTCCACGTAGCGAATGGTGGAGTAGAGTGGCCACATCTGGTCGGAGGAGGTGAGAGACGTGAGCTGAAGAGGTGGACACTGTCGGAGAGCGCTCCTTGGAGAGACTGGGCTTGGAGGGGGTGAGCACAGAACAGCCACAGGAGTGGAGGGGGTACGGAGAGGTGCGAGGTTTGGTTGTCCTTTCTGTTTTGTTCTCGCGTTCCGCTTTGTTTTCTAAGATGGGAGTGCCAGAGCCTGTTGCTTGCTTGGGTCAGCTTTGTCTCCATGCCTGTTTGTGCCGCACACGTCTGCATGCCCTGCAGTTGTCCTGTGTACTCTCGTGTTGTTTTCCCGGTGTTGGAGGCCCGTCGCAGACAGGCCCGTGCTTCTGTTTCCTTTGTCTCCCAACCGTCTAGCCATGTGCTGAAGCATTTGTCCCTTCCGGGCACAGCAAGAATACTCGGCTCTAGGTATCATGGTTCTGTGAGTGGCTGCCATGTCATGTCCTTAGTGGACTAGAGCAATGCGTGTGCGTGCGTGCGTGTGCGTGTACGTGTGTGTGTGCATATGTGTGTTTGCTGTAGGGTGTATGCACTCACCAGGGAGACAGAGACAAGGGAAGTGAGACAAGGGCATAATTTTCAAGCTACCAGGTCCAGACTCAAACTGCAAAGTAAGCCACATGGGATCCAGCCACCCTAATCACCATGCCACCTACTGGTCCCGAGAAGTATATATTTTTTAAAACAAAGTCTCACCGTGTCCTGATCCTCCTGGCTCAGCCTCCCAGCTGGGACTACAGGTGCACACCAGCAAGCCTGGCACCACCACCCCCCTTTTTGAAAACTATATATTGATGTCTTTCGAGAATGAGAGAGAGAGAAGGGACCCCAGCAGTCTTCATGCACAATCTACCTCTAGTCTCGGCTAGCCCAGGTCACTAGCATGTCTGTGTGTTTGATGTGTGCAGGGAGGTCCTGGGATGTGAACCCAGGACCTAGCCCATGAGCATTTCATAGCATTACCACTGGGCCACCACCTGGCTTTTTTAGACAGGATCTTGCTGTGTTGCCTAAGTCAACCTTGAGCCCCATCATCCAACCTCAGCTTCCCAAGTCACTAGGATTACAAGTGCACACGACCCTGCCTGGCCTTTAGGCTGCACCAGGAATCGAACCCAGGCCTCCCATGTGGTTGCAGCTGGTGAAACACAGCATTTTAGTAGGGCACGCCGGCCCTAAGACCAATTTTCACAGGCCCTATTCATGCCATGTCAGTTGTTGAAATCTGTATGGTGTTTCTGGCCAGAGAACATCCCTCAAGTGCCTTTGTTTCCTGCCTCGTACCTCAGAACACAAGGTTTCCCCAGGCAGGACAGCCTGCATGGCGGCTGTGGGAACAGCTCTTTAAGTGGGCAGGAAGGACAGGCCCGAGGCCACCGGGAGTCACACTAGCCTATTCCTAAGACCCAACCTGGAGACTAGAGTGTCAGCCATCCACACGTCAGGGCTGCAAGCAGGCAGCAGCCTCACCGAGGCCCGGGTCCAGGAATGGGAGAGGTGAGCGTGTGCTTACCCTGAGTCAGTGGCCTATGGGAAGCAGCCAGGACCGTGGCTCTCCTGTGAGGAGGCCTGAGTCCACGTGCACGAGGAGGCAGGTGGGCACGCCTGCACATTCTGCACCGTGGCTCTCTTCGTGATGTTCCTTTCTGATCTCGTTCTTCTAAGGAATGCAGTGGTTTGTTTATTTATTTATTTATTCGTTCCTAAGAGAAATTCCCACTATAGGGTACATGCCGTCACTGGAAAGAGAGAAACAGAAAGTGAGAAATCACCCTTCGAGGGGATGGCCGCACCGCAATCCCTTCTTCCCCAATCTCCTCTCAGGATTTTAGGCATGCACCCACACACGCCCGGCATGAGTTTCAAGCCTCCAGGTCTGGGACTGGAACTACCGCCAACAACATGGGAGTCCCGCAACGTAATGGGAGTCCCCATTACTCTACCCGCTGTTCCCAGGATGCAGTGTTTTAAATAAACTCAAAGGATCTCTGGCACTGCCAGGGATGATCTGGCACTAATCTCACGGGTTACAGGCAACAATCAGTAACTGGACGCTGGTGTGTGGGCAGCACGGGACACGTTGACCTGGCAGGTTGTGGGGTCAGGGCCATGACACAGGAGGACGTGGCAGCGGAGCACTGGGAGGCTGAGCCAGGAGGATCACAACACGGTGTCCCAGGTAGTGAGAGGGCAAGAGCAGCCTCTGCTTCTCACACCAGCGGGCAGTGGCTGGGACCAAGGAGGCAAAGGCTAGAGCAAGGGCGAAGTCTGGGCTGGGCACAGGAGCTGGCGACGTGCAGCAGCAGCAGCGAGGCAGGGCGACAGCAGCCCGCCTCCAGCGGCAGCTCCACCCAGGAGCACTGAGGAAGCGAGTCAGCGTTTCACATCGGAAAAAGTCGAACTTTCTAACCAGACATTTTTTGGTTTTGTTTGTTTGGTTCTTCTCAATATTACTCTGTAGAGAAGAAAAGATTAGCAATGGGAGCAAATGCGGACAGGAGGAAGAGGATGCTCTTGAAATCGAGACGGATTCGACTAAGAGCCACGATCCCTCCGCCCTGCTAAGGGTGGAGATAACCCAGACAGACAAAGGTCCCCAGTTCCTCACTCCCACCCCAGGCTGCCAAAGAGTACAGTGGGCGGAGTTTCTTTTTTCTTTTTTTTTCTTTTTTAGTTTTTCAGGAGAGAGACGAGGAGAGGGATGAGACTCCTCCCACCCCCCCCAGGGGAATGGCCATGTCCCAATTTCTTCTCCTCCAGTCTCCTCTTGGGATTCAGGGCACGTGCATGTGCCCGGTGTGAGTTTCAAGCTACCCGGCCCAGGACTTAAACCACAGAGTCAGCCATGTGGGATCCACCTTAATCTCCACACCCTCTGCTGGCCCAGAGTAGGGAAACTAGAGAGAAAACAAAAAACGGGACTAATGCATTTCGTTATTAGCAGAGTGCCTGGAGCCACATTTTTAAAAACAGAAGCTGTGTTCGTATCTCAGTGTGAGCCTGGTGTTCTCAAGCATACTCCTGCCTCATCGTGACAGCTTCTCAGAAAAGATGTTCTCTGTGGTCTCTGGTTTTGGTTACCAACAACATGTGAAGTTTTCACTTTGAGTTTAGGGGATTTCCTTCAGAATATCCGGCACTAGCCCCTGTCCGTTATGAAAGGATATCAGAAATGATTGGTTATTCCTTGCGTTGATGGTGGAATTCGGGGTGATGTCCAGATTATATTCCTGAATGGGGTTCTACAGTTTTAATATTAAACAGTTCTCAAGGAGGTTTACAATTTTTTTTTTCAATTTTGTAAGAGAGCACATGCACTCACTAGAGAGAGAAAGAGAAAATAAGAAAGCATCCCCCGATGGGAGGTGGAGACACAATTCCTCCTCCATCTCTCCCTCCTTTCAGGACTCTGGACACTCGTGTCTGGTGTGTTTCTCCAGCCACTGGATTCAAGACTCAAACTGTGTCATCAGCCACGTGGGATCTAGCTGCTTTAACCACCAGGCCACAGGCTGGCCCAAAGAAATTAAGTTTTAGAAGATAATGAAAAATATATAATAGTATTTCTTGGGAAAATTCCTAAAAAGGGGATCATTGGCACAAATGGATATTTGACTTAATCCCATTATGTTGGGTGGGGGCAGCCTGTTTTATATGTTCTTGGTAATAGCATACATGTATTTCAGAATTCCTTTGTTAAAAACTGGGCATTCTCAGGACCAGCAGTTGGCGTAATGGCTATGTCTCTGGACTCTCATGTAGTCAACCATGGTTCGAGTCCTGGACCCAGTGACTTTAACTCACACCTGGCACATGTGTGTGCATGCCCAAGATCCCGAGAAGAGAATGGAGGAGAGGAGATTGCGGCATGGCCATTCCCCCTGGGGGGTGATTTCTTGTTTTCTGTCAGTCTTTTTGGAAGCTCATGTGTCCTATAGCAAAAACCTATTAAAAAAGGAAAAAAAAAAAAAAAAAAAAAAAACAACCCTGGGCATTCTCTGACCAGTTACTGGAGTAGTGGTAAAAGTGGCTGAATCCAACATGGCCAACTATATGGTTCAAGTCCCAGACCCAACAGTTTGAAAAACCACACCAGGCACACATGAATGCATGCTCAAAATACCAAGAAGAGAATGAAGAAGAAATTGTGGTGGGGCTATCCCTCTGGGAAGTAATTGCTCACTTTCTTTCTCCAGTGAGCATACATGTGCTATAGCAAAAAATCTAAGAAAAATAAATAAATAAAACCAAACTAAAAGAACTGGGTGTTCTCTAATTGGATTGGTTTCCTGTTTTTTCAGCTACGAAGGATAACAGACAAGCATCTCTCGAGTTGCTGGCTCACCTAGTCGGTGTGTAACAGTAATGAACTTAGTGTTAGTAGAGGCTGTTCCCTGTAGATCCGATCTAAAGCCACAGCCCTCCCCGTCTCAGCCAGCCGCTCCCCCCACCCAGGGTCCTCCGCTCGACCAGGCCTCTCTGCCACGAGCTCTCCATGGGCATCAGTAATGGCTCTGCACGGACAGAGTTCATGCAGAAGGAGCTGCCTGCGCTCCACCTGGCTGACGGTCTCTCCGC